GTGTATTTATCACCATTTTCAAAATTCATGTTACCTTTTCCATGCTTTTTGTTATCTTTCCATTGTCCCTATGATTATTCGTTTATCACGTAGCATGGATACTATTGTAGTATTCAGCCATTGATAACAGATGGATGAATGATTTATAAATATCTTGACTCGTACTGATCACCATTAGCATAAATGCAGACACCTTGACCTGCTCTCTTGTTGTCGATATAATCACCTGTGTATTTTGCGCCACTAGCAAAATCCATATTACCTTTTCCATGCCTTTTGTTATCTTTCCATTGTCCCTCGTATCGATCACCATTAGCAAAAATGTAGAGACCTTGACCTGTTCTATCGCTATTGATCCAGTCACCTGAGTATTTATCACCATTTACAAAATCCGCTTGACCCTTTCCGTGCTCCTTGTTGTCTTTGAATTGTCCCTGTAATTATTCATTTATCGCATAGTATCGATATTGTTGTAATATTCAGCTATTTGCAACAGATGGATGAATGATTTATGAATATCTCAACTCGTATCGATCACCATTAGGACAAAGGTGGATACCTTGACCTACTCTGTTGTCTTCGATCCAATCACCTATATATTTTATGCTACTATCAAAATCCATTTGACCTTTTCCATGCTTCTTATTATCTTTCCATTGTCCCTCGTATCGAGCACCATTAGCGTAAATGTAGACACCTTGTCCTGTTATGTTGTCTTTGATATAATCATCTGTGAATTTATCACCATTTGCAAAATCTATATGACCTTTACCATGTTTTTTTCCGTCTTTCATTTCTCCTTCGTATCTGTTACCCCATCGATCAGTATGAATAAGTATCAGTGAAGTTTGAACATTCGTCGGCGTATGAGTAGATGCAGTGGTTGGTGTGAGTGTCGTTGTTATCGTTTTAAGAACTATTGATGGTGATTCTTCTTCGTCATCAGTAATTTCTTGCAAATGAATTAAATGCACCGGTGGTTGTTCTAGAGGATCACTAACAACACGAAATCGTGTACCTGAACAAAGAATGACTTCATTTTCACTTGGACAATTGGCATAGCTCGAAATATCTTTTCCATTGTTTGCCTCAATTAAAAATAATGTTGAATTGGGTCCAAGAAGATTCTTGATAATATTATCAGAAGTCGAACATGAATTCATAGCCCACCAAGTAAATTCGTCTCCTTTCTTAAAGTTTGTCGTTATATCTATCGTAACACCACGCCATAGATTCTTTCGAACAGTTGGTAACTTTTGTATGGCTACATCGAGTAGTTTAAGATAAGCAAACCATGGTTTTAATAACGATCGATCTTCAGCACGCAGTGCACAATTAATCACTTGACAGAAGCTATTTTCTCCCAAATCCATTGTATAAAGATAAATAGCAGCTGACTCATCACGAATAAGTCCATGTTCGGAAGGAAAATGACATTCGTTTTTCGCGATTTTACTAAAACGATCCAGTTGATCAATTGTCGTGGAAATTGGTTCAAGTGCTTTTGTTAGAGACACCAGTTCATGAGTCAAGTAGCTGTAGATAGGTAGTAGTTGTTTTGAAGTTGATTCAATATCGGTAAAACGATGCATCTTAAAGGAATTAAGAATGATTAATTGTGTATAGTCGTCTTAAAAAAAGTAAAGAACTTACTTCCTTTGTGTCGTATTTTAAAGTGTCTATTTCTTTTTCTTTCGCGGAATAGATAAAAAAATTCTCTTGTGCTTTGTATGTGTAGTATATTTGCGTTTCTCTTTGGTTACATAACAAGTCGATTTTAATCTTCGCAGATAAAAGAAGAAGAAAAAAAACCATAAAGACAATTTTTCTGCAGCTCACACATTAAAATAAAATGTCTTGTATCTTACGTACTCTAAAATTATTGTGTTGTTCTTTTTTCCGTCGTCATTCTTCCTGTGTTCGTCTACAACTATCATCATATTTACAGATGTATTAATCAATATTTTAAAAAACTCAGTATTTGCATATTTTTGTCATATATGCCACTTGAGAATTACAAACTTAGTAAAATTTAAAATTAAATTTTTTCTTGGAGAAATCTCTACGATGATAAAAAAGAACTAGAATGTGGCTGGGTGTGTACATTTTTTGTATCTATCCACACCCACACCAAACTTATATGCGTTGATGACTATGTTGATTACTCATTCATACCTACATTTTTAAATAGAATGTTATTTCACAATATTATAGAATTGCAGTCAAGCATATCAACATGATAACATATGAAAAAAACATGATTAATAAAGTTTCATTTTTTCTACGCTATTCAATACAAAATTTGCCAACGTATACTTGTGAATAAATAAATAACTACATCATATGGCATCATACCAACAGCAAACTTATAATCCTTACAACTATTCTTCTGATTACGATTTGTATTACGAAAAGATGACAGGTACGTCGCGTATTTCGAAAACTATTATTGAATATAAAATTTTATGTATAATTTGTTTAGGGTCATTAGTTTATGATGGTAGAAAAGATATAATCACCAAGGAAACTTTTTCTCGATGGACACCTAAGTTTGTCAAAACTATCCTTAGCAAAATGTTTCATAAAACAAACATTTGTTTTTGTTGATAAAAGTACATCATTTATCATAAACATTCTTCTATTTTTTTACTGCCATTTATTCAATAAACAAATCTTAATCGAAAGATTATTACACGCACAAATAATAATAAGAAAATGATAAGTTCATGAGTATTGAATTTGCCGAAATCTACCGTAAAGAAAAGAAGAAATACATTAGAAAGATGAAGATATAAATTACCGTTTTTGTTTCTTCAAAAAACATTTTGCTGGTGCAAATGATGAGCGACTTCGAAATCGACCAGATGTAATTGTAATGGGTCGAGCACGAACAGAATAAAGTTCACTTTGAATTTCTAACCAAAGAAGATATTTTGCATTACTTAAATTATAGATTACTGCTCGATATGTTTCAGCATTATATTCACCATGTGAACGAACAACATGTGTTGATATATTTTCTGAAAAAAGCTATCAAAAGAAGAAAATTTCTTCATAATTTCCTCTAAATTTTCATACTTTAAATCCAATCAATCTGTCTGTTTCATCTTCTAAACGAGGTTGTTCCCAAGCCACAACAACAATCCCTGTTTGTCCATCATCTAAACGTCGAAATATACCTGGTTTAATACCTGGCCAAAAAAATTTGACACCACGAGACATTGGACTCGGAATATTTTTATCATCACTTATTGCTTGAATATAAACTGTATATTCTTCACACGGTGAACCATTTGTCAAAGTATATGATAATTGATCATTAGAAAGAATAGCTGTTAGACGATTATTAACATAAATTTTATAACTAACAATAGTAAGTTCATCACAATTTGGTGCTGGACGCCATTCAAGTGTTACATGATCATTTGTACGTTCACTAAATAAAACATAAAATAATTTTCTCAAAAAAAAATTCATATTACCGAATTGCAACAATTGGAGCATTAGGTGACACATTCATATGAATAGTACTTTTATCTGATGAATATAATATTCTACCATTTTTATCAACAGCCAAAACCATGATTTCATAAGTAAAACCCGAGTTTAAATTACGTATTGTCTTTAGAAACAAAATTAAAAATTAAAAAGTTAGTATTTTCATCTTTTTTTTCTTATTCTTCTTACTGCATGTCGATATCGTTTCGATACTTTCATAGTTTGTATTTCACCAGTATTCAAACAAGTATAATGGATATAATAACAACGTATTTCTGTCATCGGTACAAATGTTTTCCAATTAACATGAAGTTTTTCTTCATTAATTGATTCAATTTGAATAGCTATTGCAGGAGTTATATTATTATTGATCTGCATTGCTGGTGTTGTAATAACTGCTAATGTTTGTGACATAACTGATCGTGTACGTTGAGGATTATTTGTTAAAGCACATATATTGATTTCATATGCTCGATTAATCTCCGAAGGAATTTCAGCTCGACGTAAATTAACTTCAACCATATCACCTGCTTTTTTACCTTCAATATATAATTGAAAGCCAATAATAGGTATACCATAAGATTTTGGTTCTGACCATTCAACAACAAAATTTGAATCAGATGTTTTAAGCAACCATAGTTTTGGTGCATCTGGTTCACCTGGTATTGGCATTTTTAATTGTTCATATTGATATTTTATATCATCGTTTGTAACAATAATTATTTCAATAATATAAAATTCTTTTTCATCACAGACATCTATAGAAATCAAGTTTTTCTTATAAAATATATATATGATTATAATACTAACCTATTGTAAATGATGTTTCATTACTTTCGAATAATTTTTGTTGAATATATGAATCTTTTGATGAATGCCATTGTAGAATAAAATATGAAATATTTTCGATATTTGATACTATCCAATGTATATTTATTTTTCCTAATGGTTTTATTTCATTTCTTTGTTCAATAATATTTTCTTTTGTTACATGATGATGAAATTCAAAATTAGCTTGAAAAGAACGAAGGAGATCTAAATTGTATACAGAAAGTAATCATTTTAAAAAGAAAAATATATTTGTTTTCTTATACCTTGATCCGTTAACATTCGAACACGTAATTTTTTTGAGGGTGTTTCATTAGGCTCATCATCATGTAAAAACTATTCAAAAGAAAAATAAGAATTGTAAATTTTAGATAATCTATCTTTAGTTTCTTTACCATATCATTTAGATATTCATTTTGAACACTAGTTTGTGCAACTAATCGTACTTTATATTCTTCACCAGCATGACATTCAGTCAATGTACATTGATATTGATTTTCATCTAAAGTATTATATTTTCGTCCATTAATTTCAACTCTATATCCAAGTAATTTTCGATGAATTTTAATTTGTTCATTTAATCTTTCTGGATGATCAATAATACTAAACATATTCGGTTTATTCCATGTTAAATCAATTGTTGATGTTGTATAACCAGTTAGACAAATTTCTGGTCGTTCAGATAAATCTGGTATACGATAACGTACCAATGTTATTTCACTTATTGTTAAACAAATTTCTTTTCGATTGATTTCATCATCTTCAAGATTCATTTTCATACTAAATAATGAATCAAGTGAGATTCTATATAAACCTTGTTGTAGTATTCCAGGTATTATTGCATTTGCAATATTACAATCAAGTTCCATACTATGTTCCTCACTACCACGTTCTAATTTCCATCGAAGTATTTGGCTGAGATATTTTGTTGAACCATAAGCTTTCGGTAATATCCATTCAAGTTGTATTGATTCAAAAGTTGCACTACAAATATGTAGTTGACTTGCTGGCTCACAACCGCTTGTTGTAAATTGTAAACTTTGACTTATTAACCAATTGGATAATTTTAATTTTTTCGGTAACTGTGAAATATCATGACAATCAATTTCATTTAAATATTCATCAGTTATTGCATAAATAGTGACATTATATTCTGTACGTTCAATCAAATTTGATAAAAGAAATTCTGTTGAATCAGGTGTTAAATCAAAAATAATATCTCTTGAATTCTTTCCTGAATGAAGCGATTCACAATGAACACGAAGTGCTATTATTTCTGCACTATGTTCAATAAATGGATCAAAGCCTAAACGAACAGCTGTATTGGTACAAGAAATAATATGCAAGTTTGATGGTGCATTTGGTGGTGCACCTGTCTCAAATGTTAAAATATCAGATATAGTTGAGACAATATATGATTCTAAAAATAATAAAAATTTTTTTACTAAAAATCAATAATAATAATAAAATACCATTTGTTATTTGACGATATCGTCTCTTATAGGCCTCTAACTGAACTTCGTAGATTGTACTGGATTGAAGATCTTTTAATTGTTGACTAGTTTTATCTTCTGAAAAAATAAATTTACTCAATTATTTCATACACCCTATATTAAATGACATGAAAACAGACATACTTGATATTGAAATAACGGCAGTTTGATGACGTGTTTGTTCTCTACTATTCCAAATATGTAGTTTGTAACTATCTGGTATTGTATTTTCATTTGATAAATCATCGACTTGAGACCAACAAACTACTGCTGAATGACCAGAAATATTTTCAATCCAAAGTTTTGACGGAATCTGTATTAAATCTGTAAATTCAATGTCAAGTTTTGGTCCTAACAAATAGGAATCATGATTTTCAGGATTATATTCTAAGAAGCTATCAGAATGTTGTCTTATTGGTACTACTTGTAATGAATATCGATTACCAACTACTAGATCATGAATAGAAGCTCGTCGTTGATCAACTGGTATTGATTTACCAAATGGTCGTCCATTTTTCAATATCTGATATCCCTTATAAACATTGTCAATCTTACAAACAAATCTTTAAAACACAAACCATACAACTTACAATTATGTTCATATCTTGATCTTCCGTAGGTATATCCCAAACAATATCAATTCCATCTGGATGCATTCGTTCGATTCGTAGAGGTGCAACTTTTGATGGAGTAGTACATTGTAATATTAATTCATTCGATGCATTTGATTCAATATCACATTGATAGATGGAATCATCAAATATGTTTTGTTTTATACATGCTTTAATAAAAATTGAATATGTTTGATTAGTTTGTAATTGAGTATATTCATATTTAAATGAATGCTGTCCATCAGTATCGATTTCATCATGAAGTTTTCCATCGAGAAAAATTTTAAAAGATGTTATTCTATCTGAATTATTTTTATTTATTTTCCATTTTATTCCAATGGAACATGGTTGATTAGAATCAATTGATTGGATTGTTGGTGCTTGTGGCCGTGGTGGACATATAATATTTACTGGTTCAGAGATTTTTTCATCAGCAAAATCTGAACGAGATGTCACAGAGATTTGAACTTCATTTGTGGTATCTAAAATCGATTATTTCATAAATAAAGCTATGATTTAAGGTATTTAATACCTGGCTCAAGGTTTTCTAATTTGTATTCATGTTGATTAGGTGGAAGAATTTCAGTCGATTTTGTATTTACAATAATGCGATAGGCTTTAATCCATGATGGATCAACAGAATCATTCAATGTCCATGATAAATTTACCTAAAATATATTTTATATAGATAATTCTTTTTATTGAAAAAATCAACTACCATTTGTATCCCGATTTGTGTTACTTTAAGTATCGGTTGAGACAAGGGAGCATTTAATGTTGTCAGATCATCTTTTTCATCAGAAACTCCCTAGGATAAGAGAATGATAGAACTTTTGCTTCTAAAAAAAAAGAAATAATTATATACGTGATCATCAACATTGCATGAATCTTGTAGTTGTTTCTGTTCTAACTTTTGGTCATCACTGGATGGAATATCGAATTGCTAGTTACGAAAAATTATAAATTAGTAAATAAATTATGATTCTATCAATTGATACATACGAGAATATTCGATTTCCAAATTTCCTGTTCGTCATCTTTGGAATTATTCATTAATTAAGTGATCACAACCCTTAACAAAAACGCCATCTATTCTGTAATAATATAATACTTAAAAACAAATTCTTTAAAGAGGACATTTATAAGGAAAGATTCTGCACTATCTCTATTTTGTCTAATCTATATGTAAAGAAAAGTTGACCTTGTTATAACCGTACAAAGATAATTATAAGTTAAATATTTGACAAACATGGTTTCAAATGAATGATACATAAAATGTTTTTTGTTCGTAAACCGATTGTATTGAAGTAATTAACATATTATGTTGCTGGAACCAGAAAATAGCAATGACTTATAATTCGGTCGTTAGATGACAAACTTCATGTAAAGAAACACTTCTCCGGCATTAAGGATTAATCATAAAAATGATCTTACAGCAAACAAATCAACCAAAATACGTTATTTAATGTAGAATTAGATTTCTATCTTCATTATATTGTGAAACTTCAAGGAAGTTCGGTTACAGTAGCAAAAGTCTAATATGCTTTTATCAAAAGTAGTCAAGGTGGATGCTGTTTTGGCAACTCTCCAGTCAGACAACGGTCGTGAATTCGTATTAAAAGATGACCACTTTAAATTATCTCAAATCCGGCTGCTTAAAAATAATTCGTAGAAGATTGCAATGGTTAATTTTCAAGTATGAACTAATTCAAAATACTTGATTTAATAAATATAAATAGGATTACTATGTTATTATACATAATAAAGTTGCTAATATACTTTGATCAATAAGTCTCTTTTTCTAGGAAAAGTTTGAAATGAATTTGTCTCATGTAACATTGCTAAAATGCTATCAATAACTGTATAGCTTAGATGAGATATATTTAGATACAACTTTCGCATTAGCATGTTTGTATTCTGAATGTCACATAATTTGTAAACAGTCATTTTCGGTATAACAGATAAATAGCACTCATGTTTGCCTGGTGAGAGATTTAATTGAAAGTTTGGCTCATCAGATGGTGAGATTGATTCCCCGTATTGTTCTCCGTCAACAATAATCTAATCAAAACTATTAGAAATAGAATATGTATTCAGAAATAATTCACTTACTCGATAATTATGAACAATATCTGAGATTCTCTGTGTTGATTTGCTCCAAAACAGTGTAATACCATTAGAATTTTGCTGAAATGATATTGTTGGAATGGCATCCTGAAGACTAGGAGTCTGAGAGAAAGATCAAATATTTTCTTTTTCTCCTAAAAATCTAACTGCTTACAATAGAAAGAGTTTCAATTTTACGTTGTGGTTCTGGACGAGGATGTGGAAAATGATCAAGATGAATAACTAAAATAAAAATCATGAATTGATATAATGTTTATAATATATATTATATGAAATTCTAATCTTACTCTCTAATCGCATATCAGGTGGTGGAATTTCAGCATTAACTGTTATATATGCAAAATATCGATCAATTAATTGTTCTTTTAATGGCATTTCTAATGGTGGATTAACATTAAGGATATTTGATTTTCGAATATCATTACTATCTAAAATATTAAATAGAACATAATTGCAATAATTAATTAAGAATGAATTTTATCTCACTTTTTAGTTTTGCTTCAACATGTAAAAGGTATCTTTTTCGTTGTTGAGCACCATGAAACTGAATACCAAAAAAAATCATTAAAATCTTTTTCAAAAATCTATCAAATTGAATTAACATAAAAAAATTTTACTCAGGCAAATCTGAATATACGATACCGTTGTCCTTTCAATATCATCAACATAAACAATATATTCACTAACATGATCTCCAATATGAGCCCACATTAAAAAGATTGTCGTTTGTTCATTCGATACAGCTAAACTAATTAATGGTGCACCATGAATTTCTCGTTTAATTTCAAATGCCTATTAAATAAATAGAATAAAACCCACATTTTCTATAATGATTTTTTTTAATATCACAAAATACCCGTTTATTCGATGGTATTGGTATAGCATTAATAATATTTGATTTTGGATAAGCTAAAATATAGATTTCATATTGTTCACCACCAGCAAAACCTTCGGCTGAAAATATAATATCAGTTGGTGATAGATTGACACTTTGTGCTATATCATCTACATATAATTCAAAATGATCAACAAGATCTGCTGAACTTGTTGGTTCCACTTGAATTTTTCCATATAATTTGTTTGGATATTGTATGGAAGCTGAAAGATTTATTTTTGTACTACTCCATGCTGACAGAGATTCCTATGAGATACACATAAAAATCGAATTTTTTTCTAATAGAAATAAACATACATTCACTATTTCTAGTTCATCATTTTCCATAACAAAAGTTGGACTAAAATAATAGTCAAAATAAACTCTATGTTCAAAAGGCAACATCAATTTTCCTAATTCAATATCGTTATAATAAATACTGGAATTTCAAAAGTATTCTATCATTTATTAATATATCTTTCTTGAAAATATTCTTTAAAACAAACCTGCTTGTAATAACACTGCTTGATATCTTTTCATTTTCAGTTGCATAGGCACGTAAAATATGAAAACCTGGTTGATCAAAACATATATCTTCATTAGTATTATAAATCTAAATTAGAATGATTAATATTTAATTGAATAATATACATTTATTTTTACATGAACATTATCATGATGTCTTGTTGGAAGCGTTCCATCAAGTGTATAATATATTATCGCATCTTGATTTGGATATTTTAAATGTACTCGTGTTTTAAATTGACTAAGTGTATCAATTTCTTCGATTATTTGAGGTTGTTGTGTTCGTTTTTCTATAGATAAAAGATAAAAAAGTATTATAGAACAGAAAAACTAATATTTACTATCATTTCGAATGATATCATCTGAATAAACAATAACAGTTGCTGTATTATTGAAACGATCAGATCGAATAGTATATTGTCCACATTGATTAAATGTATATAAATAATGTATATCAGGCACATATTGTTCAATTGATCGATCAATACGATTATTCTTATATATATGAATAAAATTTAATTTAAATTTTTAATTTATAAGAAAATAAGTTACTTCGTTTAAGTTTGGTTTCTCATTTTCATTTGATTCAACATAAATTCGATGATATTGATCGTTATTTAATAATACCCATGAAATACTTTCATTCTAAAATTTATTTAGAAAAAAACAACTTTTTTTTAAAGAAGAAAGTCTACCTGAGCAATATGGAAAACATTAGGAACAAATTGTTGATGTGTAATAAAAAAACATGCTTTACTAAATGGTGGATCAATAATAATTGTTGATATTAGACGATCCTTTTCAGATAAAATTAATTTTAATGATTATATTCATTTTCACTTTACCTGTTCTGAACCAGTAACTCGTTCAAATTCTAAAAAACAAAATATTTTTTATTAATAAATTCTTCATTTCATTTTTTACCTGGATTAGCGAAATAAAATACTCCAGGCATAATACATTCAACAGCAAGACATTGTCGATTACGACCTGATACAGCTCGATCATGACATGATGCTAAATCTTGTAAAGTTTCATTTGAACGTAATTGTATAACACCGAAACGAATAATTTGTTCAAATTGCCATATAACAAAATCATTTATATTAGTTATTATTGCTTGAAAATCAAAATCACCAAGACGAATGAATTTATAATGGAAATGAATTTCAGGTAAAACAATAATCGCTAATGGTGATGATGATGATGAAATTTTTGTTGTATAATTATCATTCTTAATATCCGTTGAAAAATAATAAATTCCAATTTGTTTAAATTGTTGCATAAAATAATTCATACTATTTAATTGTGGTTGAAAAATTGGTTTATCTACGTCTAAATGATTTCCATATTCATCTGCTCGATAAATATTTGCTGATATCGAATCAAACCAAACTTGATCATTACGATTAACAATTATTGTATTTGGTTCAAACATATTTTGTTCACTATATGTGATATGATGATTCTATATAGATTACTATAATAATAAACAAACAAAGTAAAAATTTATATTCTTACATTAATACTATTTTCAACAATAACACTTAATACAACATCATCACGATTATCACAATATGCAAAACTATAAAGACCATGTTGTGGAATATGAAGAAGAAATGTTTCGCATGTATGGAAATAAGAACGAAAAAATGGTTCAACTTTGACACATTTATGCATAGCTAAAAAGATATATATACTGTAATCATTTTCTGTCTAATCAAGTAGTGTATTCTGAATCTTCTATATATGTGCACATGCTCGGTTACAGTTATATTGAAATATATGTCTAGTGCTATCACAATGATACTCAAATATTTTATAGTCAATTCATAAATATGATATTGTATTTTTTCCAAGGGGGAAAGAGCGGAATCTTGGAATCCAAAAATATTTATGGAATCCTTCGGACGTTTAGGAAATCCAGAAATCGTAAATGAGACATGAAAGTCCTCGATATTCATTAAAATCTTTGAAGTTTCTAGAAATTTACGAGATATTGCTCTAAAAAATCGACCATTGTGGAATAATTTGATAGAATCTCGAAAGACTAGGGGTACGCACAATTCACTTGAACGAATTGAACTTATTAAAACAGTTCAGATGCCGTGAACCGAGCTCTGAAAATAGTTCTTTTCGTATAGCTGAGTCGTCTAAAATACTGAACCGTTGTGAACTAGAACTAAACTATGTGTACCCCTAGTTTTGATAACTTAGGCAGTTTGTTTAAAATTTATATCACGTTCTAGAATATTCAATGCAGGCTGATAGATCTAAAACAACCATGAAATAAGACAAAATCGAAAAATATTTATCAGACTTTGTGAGAATTCAAAAGAATCCATGGGAATCATTGGAATCCAAACGAATGGCTTCCGCTCTTTCTCCCTTGTATCTATCGATACGTTTGTTTTATTCTTTGATATACAACTAACTTACAACAATCAAATATTCCTGTAAGACCACCCGCTACATCCGGTACGATGGATGTATTAGCATCAACCGTGATTAATACTGGTTCTTCTTGTGAATCAGTCATCTTCCATTCAAATTGAACTAAATCATTTGTATTCATTTTTAAAACTAAATAAAAAAAGATAATCATATTTTGGTAAGTTGTTTTCATTTAAACATACTTAATTGATCACCAAAAATTGGAAAAGAATAAATATTTTTCTTTGGTTCAACAATAATCGTTCCAATTTGGTTATTTGCTGTTTTAAAACAAAAAATACCTGTTTGATTAAATTTATGAATCATATAACCACGATAGGATGGATCATATGGCCAAAAGAAATGTTCTCCGATTGTTTTCAACTTAGAAAAAGAAAAAGAATTAGATAGTTGTAATTTATTTATTCATTTGAAATACAAACTTCGATTGATTGTTGTGTATTTTCATCGATCAGATAAGGATCAATTTGAATAAGAGTTTGTTTTTCTTTTGTATTCCATTCAAATATAATTGAGTCATTTTGTTCAATTGAAATAATATTTGGTTGAATATTTATATCAGTTATTTCAATATGTTTTATTTGATATTTATCTTTTATAATACATACCATGATATCATGAATTTGATTTGTTTCAGTTAAACGAAATAAAAATGATGTACCATATTCATTAAATGTTCTTTGAAATTTTCCTTGTGTTACAGCACGATTTGTTATTATATCTGATGTTTGTTCGATTTTATAAAGGCCACCAGATATTGGGCAATATCTATTTTCTTCTATACGATAACCATTACAACGTTTTGATATCCATTCAAGTTCAATTGTATCATTTTTATGTAAAATAATTTTTTGACTTTCTTTATTATCATTGAAAGAAAATTTCATTTCATTTCTATGAATTAAAAGATAATTTTTTTCACAATTTTCTTTTGAACATTGACGTGATTTTAAATATGTTTCATGTTGTAATGATGGAATTATACAAAAATATAATTCCATTGTTGAACAATGAAAACTAAATGAAAGTTCAATACGTCTTTTCTTTTCCGATGTATTATTATTTATATTAAATAATTCTATTCCATTATCTATTCGATAGTAATCAGTATTATCTTTATAAACTTGAAATATATCATATTCATCATCTGAATTAACTTTGAATTCAATTGTATCATTACTTTCAATACGACCAGATATATGTTCAGGAAATGTACCATTCGTTATATCTATGATATGAATTACATTTGCATCATCATCATCAGATTGAAGATGATTGTTTAACTCATTATTCTGTAATGAAGCCATATGAATTACTGCTAAAGAAAAGGCAGAATAATATTTTTTAATTAAAAAAAGAAAAAAAGAAAAAGTATATTTAGGCGAACATTTTGTAAACTTAAAATGTCTATATTTTGTATACAGTAAGGTGCATAAGTCAAATTAAGTTGAGTGATGAACAAGCGCGGCGCGAGCGGAGGTACCCCCCTCCTGCTTTTGGAAAAAAGACTGAATTTTCTCCGATTTTTGAGTTGACTTGTTACCGCTTGGGCCGATTTAGTTTCTCCTATTTTCCCATTTTGGATTTCAAAACTGGTTCGTAGGTCTACAGAATCCTCTACAAACTAAACTAAAGACCTTTTTTTTTTGCTCATCAGTTTTGGTTTTTGGGTAGTTAAGACGGAAAATTTAAGAAGTTTTTTCTAAAATTCAGAAAAACTCAAACTGAGAAAATTGTTTTTTCTTTCTCCGATTTTGTGATTACTCCCCTCCTGCTTTTAGCGCTCCGCGCCGTATCGGAAAGCGAGAACCATCATATTTCAGTGATTTAGAAAGATTGCCATGACTTATCTGTGTATATATTTAGTTTTTTTTTATTTATATCACTTCCATTCTGAGAAATACTGGGGAGAACGACTATAAGCTCTCGATACATCAACAATAAAGTCTTTGATTACAATCAGAAAGATCCAAAGAAGAAGTTCTTACTTTATTGAATGATTATGAAAAGATTTTCATGCAAAATATAAAACACAAACATGCATCCACTCACACAATGAAATACAATTCAAACCTTTGTATTATTTGTGATTTATTTGATATAATGATACTTAAGAAAAATAAAATAATATTATTCAATTTTTATAAGACTTCTTATTTGATTATTATATCAAAGTTGCTAAGCAATCAATTCAAGAACTATGAAATCGCTAAGTTTAACATGTATTATTATGGATAATCTCGTCTTAGTTGTACATCTAAATCTTCATGTTTGTTGGTAGTTTATTTTTTCTTAGCCTACTTTGGATACAGATGGCAGTATCAATCAAAATATTTCAAAGGATTCTCTTATTTCGTCATTTGATAGAATAAGAAAATAAAAGTGAAACATTCACCTAATACAATTATTTTAGTAATAATTAAAGAAGATGATCATAATTTTAAAATAATATCAACGATGTATTCACTAATAAAATCAATTTTCTATTAGCAACAAAAACTAAATAAAATAAAAACAAAATGATCTACTTAATACAAAACGAAGGTTAATGCAAACACGATTGTATATATACATTAAGGATTCATATATAAACAAACAAATACAGAAAAGTATACTTGACTGAAGTGACTGATGTTGAAAAGAATAACAAGATTTTAAGTATTAATAGGATCAATCTATGAAAATTCATTCACTTATCTATTAAGTTTTAATTTATTTATTTTGATCAACTGAAATATTTGTACATGTACATATATATATTCTCTTTATTGTTGAGAATTAATAAAAGGAAAAATGTCTAAATTGAAACAAAAAACAGAAAACATCTTAATTAAAATACAATACAATTTTATTCTTCATTTAATTGATTATTTTCTTCAATATCAGAATTATTTGTTTCGTTATTATCATCATCAATTAAATTAGAACAATATGAACCAAGAAATTCGTCTTTTTGTTGACAATCATTTGATAATTCATTGTTATTATTAATTGATTTTGTTGACATTAGTAATTCACGTTCTTTTGTATTTCGCCATTTCATACGACGATTTTGAAACCTAAAATATTATTTAAAAAAAAACAAATTCTTCGAAAATTCAATTTTTCTTACCAAATTTTCACCTTGACAATTTTTATAAAAGAAAATAAAGAATTAAAATGATTAACAATTTAAATATTTTACCTGTGAATCTTTTAAATTAAGACGTTGTGCTAATTTTTTTCTTTCAGGTTTACTAATATATTTTTGTTTTAAAAAAGCAACTTCAAGACCTTTACGTTGTTGATCAGTAAAAACTGCACGTCTTAACATTCGCGGTTGTGTTTTACCTCGAAGATCTATTGGCCAAAATGATGCTGATGATGGAAAATAAAGTCCATTTCCTGGCATTAAACCATTTAAAATTGAAGGTGAACCATTATTTTCAAAATAATGACCTATACAATAAAGACAAAGAATCAACAAATACACATTCTCTTTTGTTTTGATAATAGATAGAATACATTAATTGAATAAAAAGAATAAAAAATAATATGTAGACAATAGAAATAAGCCTAGAGTGAAGAAATCAAAACAAGCGAAGCGAAAGAAAGATGCCATCCATCAAGAATATCCAGTTAAATATTGCTTTTATTTATCTTTCTCTATTCAAAAGAAATTATCGTTTGAAAAACACTATACTAATTCTTTAATTATCAATAACATATATAATTAGAGGGATATTATTGCATGACATGAATTCCTATTATATGTTCATATAGATCGTTTCATAAAATATACAGAGGACACGAGGAAAATGAAGGCGAATTAACCAATAGGGAATGAATACATAAGAAAATAATACTTTGTGCGATATGGTTTTTGTTAATAGTATACAGAGAGAGCAGATAAAGCGAATCAATATCAGAAAAACTGTATATATCAGCGGAAGGAAAATGAAAGAAAGAGAAAGTGGAGAAAAAGTGATCTTCGTGGGATTCGAACCCACACCTCATGCTATCCGGGCAGTTATCCTAAACCAATTAGACTAGAAGGACTAACTTAATCTCTAGATTAGCATCGTGTGAATCACACAGACGCTAACACCAATCAAAACTCATAATGAATCATCGTCTTTTGGATGTCCTTTGTCGATAATCTCTAAAAGATCATAATATTTTTGTTTTGATTTTAATTGGCTCATGTCATATATAATAGATAATTGATATAGACAACCTGTTTTGTATATATTTATCAGTACTTACCAATAAAAGGTCGAAGATTTGGACGCCATAAAGGATGAGGTGGTAATGAAGAATGATGAGATCGACTGGCTGCAATCATCTGTTGTAAAATATGATCATTATTAATTTCTTGAGATGATGGATGAAGTGAATTACTATTTGAACACATTGAAAATTGTTGTTTGATTACAGGAGATTGAACAAGAGAAGGTTCACTTGAAGAAACAGATGAATTTGTTGAAATAGGTGATGTAACATGAATGTCAACTATATATAAATACATTTCTTCTGATTTAATAATTATAAACAATTTTTACCTTTATGTCTTAATTCATCATTTGAATCATTACCTATTTCAAATGAAGAATTATTATCTAAATGTGTATTAACATTGCCAAGAATTGTATCAACACCAAATTTAAGTATTTTACGAGATGATACTAATGATCTTGTACCAACAAAAGATATGGATGTTAAATTATCTTCATTATTATTTGAAATATTTCTTTTCATTTTTGTTAACAGTGGTAATAAATGCGTCGTTTGTCCACATAAACCATTATTCATCATCTTTTATATATATGTCTGCGTTAGACAAACAATGAAAATTTTCATTTTATGAATTTATTTAAACGAATACATGATCCGATCATTTTCCATTAGTGTCCAATCATTGTTGAGAGAGAGCGAGAGAGAGAGAGAGAGAGAGAAAGAGAAAGAGAAAATATAAATGACGAAGAGTATCAACCATTCATAACGCTTGCAGGTAGAAACTAACTGTTCTCTCGCTTCTTTCATTTGTCAATTGATTTGTTCAAGAGAGTAGACACATAATGACAGTATCAATGAATTGATTCATGTTGAAAAAAGCAAAAAAAAAACTTATAAATAGTGTGTAAGTGGTAGCTAGAGAAAAAAAAGCTCTGACTTTTTATGGGCGTCATCATCAGTTATTTATATATATTGAATTATGAATACAAATGAAATTTTTGATTTTTTTTAATCGTTGAATTATTGTCAAGGAAAGCGAAAATAAAAAAAAATTGGTAAAGATTTTCTTCTTCTTCTTCTTCTTCTCCTCTTCATCAATTCATACCGACAATCGAACTATAGAAGAGTACTTTTAAGATTTAAGTGATTGACATAGAAAAAGAAAACTTGCTAAGAGGCAAATATACTCTTTGTGAATAAAATGAAATTTCTGTACAATAATAATGAATGATTAAATTCGTTTTTGTTTCAATTTAACTGAATCTATTTTTCTATTGATCATCGACGAGTTTATTTTGACACAATATAGTGCAAAACAACACAATGAAAATATATATACAATCTCTTTTTTTCTTCTTATAATGTACTCATAATAAATTCAATACGTTTTTTCCTAACTATACACTAATTTAAATGATAACAATTTAGTATATACATGTATTGAACTTGTCAAGTTTATTAGCGTGATTCAATATAGAATACTTTGAATATTACTACTGTGTATGCTCTTATTCATTCTCTTGATGTGTTATTGAATACCAGTGATACTTGAACTATGTATGCTTGATTACATTGAATTCATTATTGTATGCCTATAAGTCACATAGATACTTAGCTATTTATTTCGCCGCCCATTGTTATAGATACATGATTGTAACGGAAATCGGCACGTAAAAAGTAACGGAAATGGAATTTGTAGTACTCTGGAGAAGAAAAAAACTTGTCATCATTTTGTTTTTTCATACATGAACGAATAGGTGATGTGATAATTATGAAATAATAGAAAAAAAGATTATATAAAAATACTTATCATATACACCGTCTTAATTTTGACAAGGATAATAGACAGTTGTTTTTTTTTTCTTGTTTAATTTTTAATTTGTTTTTGAGTGTTTAGAAGATATGTTGCCATACGATATAGTAATCAAAATCTTCAACGTGATTGGATATAATTTACAATGGTTATTAACGATTTCTTTCCGACGTCGACATATATAGAAATAAAATATTAAACGAATTTGTCAAATAATGATAACGATTCATAATCATTATTTATCAACGTTAGAAGATTAAAACTAAATTGTAATATTAA